GTGTAATCTTAGGAGTTGTTTCACATGGTTATATGGAAATTATACCGCATGAATTACAACATGGGGATTAAATAAGAACGAGATTATTTAGCGAATATATTTTTATTAGTAGATTTCATCATTATTAGATTAAACGTAAAATATCATCGTATATTTCAAACACGTGTTTGCTTTTATACTAGATAAATTTGAATAAACTCTTAATTCAAATTTTAACTTTATTTTTTTAAGACTTTAAAAAAAACATTGGAGAGGATAAATATATTATTTTATTGTCATATCTTGTGATTAGCAATATCAAAATTCAAATTTCGACCACGTCGCAACATAAGGTTATCCCAAGAAAAATATAAGGAACACAAGAGCGTCCTGCTTGAATTCTTTAGTTCAGGCGCTACATTTGTAGTCAATTGGAAATTATATTACTTTCTTTGGCCATGTGAGCAATTAAGCTTCGTTTGTATTTTTTAGTTTAATTAATAAGCTAGCAAATTTTAACTATTTTTTTAATACTTAAACATGTACTGTCAAAATATCCAAAGGACAAAGTAGCTACTATAAAGTTCACCGTATATTTTGAACATGAAAAACTAAAAAAATGCTTGTCCTGTTATTCATTTCCTTGAGCAAAGTTTAATGATTTTAGTATGATTGTGTGTATAATTCAGCTACTTTAATAAGCTAGAATATAATTTTGTGACTTTATAAGTATAACTAGGGAATTTATCCGCGCTTCGTGCAGTTATAATAAATATCATACAATATAAAATAAATATGTAATTCTTAGTTGAGTTATATATTAAATACATGAATGTATTATATGCATTTGATTTGTTCTTTTCACTAAATAGTAAAACATTTAATAAAAATGAAGTGAAAAATAAAGAAACTAAAAATAAAAAAGAAAATCTCTCTATTTTTTGTATCGATCTTCTTTTTCTTTCCTTTTCAATTCCCTAATCTCTCTACTATTTTTTTCTCTTTTTCTCTCTATTCGTATCTTATACTGTCTCTACAAATTATTTTTTCTTTTCTTTCCTTCTATTTCTTTTCCCTACAACTGCTTTTTCAATTTGCCTCATTAAATTTAACCTTTTGGTAATATATTATTCAAAAACCTTTGGGGGAAAATCTTAATTTTTTTACCACATCCAATTTAATTCTTGGGAGTTACTATATATACAAAACCTTAAATAAAAGAATCGAAAATAATTAAAATTGTTACACTTCTAATTAGGCAAGAGAAAAATGCGAAAAAGTGATGAAAAATAATTGGTCATTTTAGTTTTGGAGAAGTGTCACGTTATATCTCTATAAGTTAGATACAAATCTTATTCTTCACGCAATGACCTATAATCTATTAATAAAATCTAGCAAAATATAAGAACTTCTATACCATATATTTTATATTCTCCAAAACAAAACAAAAAACAAATAAGAAAAATGCTTGTAACACCAGAGTCACCATTGTGATACTATGATTCATATACAACACACACAAAAATAAAATAGCAAAAGTGACTTGAAAATAAAAGTTGCATACAAACCACAAAAGTAATGAAAATTCATAGAAAAGCTTGCCAAAATTAATCATGCATCATTAAAATAAAAGCTTGCCAAATTTCTTCACCAGCTCTTGAAACTTGAGAGGAAGATATTTTTAGTATCATCACCATCTTGACCTTGGTTTATTCCATATACATAAACATTGTCTGATATGTATAAGTATAGATGCACAAGCATTTGCTGGAATATTTGGTTTTACTCTAATTTTAACATGTAATACGGAATATTGTTAAAACGAAAAAGAACTTGAAAATTCACCAGTTATATAGTTCAAATAAAACCAGAGATCACAATATATAGTTGGATTGGAAATTGGGTGGTCAAGCAGAAAATTGAAAAGATCAAAATATAGATAACAGATTAAATACAATTTAATACTAATAATTGTATAATTACTTATAATAACGATTTGAAAAATGAAATGAAGAGCTTTCATGGGATTTGTGAAGAAAAATAAGAAGAGTGGGCAGAAATCGTTTCTCATTAGAATGCTAATACTCACTCATCAGCTTTATTTTACACATTTTCTTCTTTAAGTCATTAAAGCTGCTTATTTTGCCCAATTAAATTGAATCCCTTCCTCTCTCTTATTTAATATTCATAATTAATGTATATAATGAAAGATGTAATTCAATTCCAAAATTTCCTCCTCTTTCGTTATTTAAACTCATAACAGTAATTATATAGGAAAAACATTTTAATAATGAAAATTGTACTAAAATGATGATGAAAGTCCAAAACAACATGAAAAAAGATAAATAAGAATGTTGGCTTTAGACAGTGGCGGATGCAGCGTAAAATCTACGGGTTCAACTGAACCCATAACTTTCGACGCGGAGTAAATTTTTTTTATGTAAAAAGTCATTAAAATTACAAAAATAGTAGATATGAACCCATAAATTTAAAAATACAATGAGTTCAATGTTAAAAGCCTTAAAATTGAACCCATAAGATTTAAATCCTGAATTCGTCTCTGGCTTTAGATGACTGCCACATCATCTTGCCAATTCCCACCTTTATATTTATATATATAGATGAATAAAACTTTGATTTTACTATTATTGCAAATAATATTCAATTACTTATAAAAATAATTTTGTGATTTGACTATTTCAGCAAATAAAATTCAACGAGCATATATAAAATTAACTCATGTACGAAGAGTTGGGTTAAAGGAAAGTTTGGTATGGATTATGGAAGTGACGAGTTTAAATCCATTTATTTTTCAATTAAATATGAAGGTTCGGTTTAGTAAATTCTCAAAAAGGTCGCTGACACAAGAAGCGACCTACTGTTAGGTGGGGCTCACAAAACCGGTTTTAAGATAGTGGACCCAATAATTCCCCTAAACTTCCACGTTACAAATATTCACCGATTGCCTGTAAAATAACCCTTTAGCTTCCATTTAATTACAGTTATACCCTTCCTGCTCTCTATTGTACTATACTACTCTTTCATAAGAGAAAAATTTACTCTCTAACATTTTTCACTTGGTTCCAAAGACACATTTCTTTAGATAGAAAAGAAACGTAATAGAAAGTGAAAAAAAAATCCAAGAAAAATAAAGTATTCAAGATAAAATTTGCAAAGAAAAACATTAGAAATGCTATAAATTTGAAGAAGAAAAGAAATATGAGTCGTTAGTGTGATTGATTTTTTCCTTTTAAATATTCCAATTAATGCCAATAACCATGTTCTTAGAAGAGTTCGTGTCTTTTTTTTCTTGAGCCGACGGTCTGTCGGAAGCAACCTCTTTACTACTTCGGAATAGGGGTAAGGTCTGCGTACACACTACCTTCTCCAGACCTATTAGTGAGATTTTACTGGATTGTTGTTGTTGTTAGAAGAGTTCGTATCAATAAAATTCCTTAAAGCTTGTTTGATTTCTCGTTTTACAAAAAAGATTACCCGACATAAAACTCTATGTCATTCAATGCGAAGTTTGGCTATGGAATTTCTCACATATGGTTTGTTCAGCTAGGGTTTTAAGTTTGAACAGAGAAAGGAAAGATCCACCATCCATGCTATGTTGCATTTCCATTTCTATATAAGTAAATTACTTTTATTAAGAGAAACATTAATTATGTAATTTAAAATTCGTCCCACATTCCTAACATACTTTTCGAGCCATCTTTATTTCTCCTAACATGCTTGTTGGCTCATTTTCAAGAGGATTGTTTACACATATAGCTGGGGTTGGGCACAGTTTGGCAAATCTGAAACCCAAACCGAAATTTGATTTTTTTTTTGAATTTTTGGTTTGGATTTTTGAATTACGGATTAGATTTTGGATTTAATTTTTAAAATTTTTGGATTTCGGATTGGATATAGGATTTGGTACTTGTGATTTTTGGATATATGAAAATCTGAAATTTTATACTTTATATTTAGCCCATTATCCATATGCCAATAATAATAATAATAAGTTCAATACTCTACCCATTAGATATTATCTCATCTATTCAATATTAATTACAAAGTTACTGTCAGAATACTTTTCATTGGACATGATTTTACTAGTGCTACTTCTTATCGGCCGTATTAATATCTCTGTTGTATTTTTTGATAATAATTTCATTGCTTAAATGCTTTATTTGGATGATTGCGGCAAGAATGTGGAACTTTTCAGGCAATTTAACATAAGTACTTCATTTGCATATTCATTTTTGTAAAAAGTAGAAGTATCTCAACTTATACGCTCAAAACTGAAAATCCATAATACCCAAATCGAGTAACCCGAAACTAAACTTAAAAAATCCGATGTAATCCGAACTTATTGGGATTGGATTTGGATTGTCATTTCTTTAATCCGAAAACCAAAATTCTCATATCCAATTCGAACTGCCCGAACGCCCACCCCTACATATAGCCGGCCAAATTCACTGTTTATTTTTCCTAGCTAGTATACATAAATTATACTGAGTATGCACAACTATACAAATATTATAGATGAAGACAGCTATATTGACGCCAAATTAGAAGAAAGAAAGAAGAAACAGGTTCAATCCCACAAAGAGGTGGTTGATTTTGGACTTTGATAGCAACCCCCATATATTCCAATTCAATTGCAGTCCGCTATTTTTATATACACTGCTAAAAGATTTGAAATCTTAATTGGTGCAACTGTCATTCTCCTTTGAAATGGAATGAATAGCCAATAGCCATTGACCTCCATGTCTATGTTTTGTCGTTCCAAATAGTCCTTTTCATGTTACAAAATCAACTTTGGTTACTACATAGCAAGCATCAACTACCCCACATTCCCACAACAACCGGCTTTGCTTTTGGCACAATAATTTGGTGGTCCATAACATGAACATCCTTTTGTACATTGAATAGGTCAACCATATACCTCAAAGACAAATTACCAAAAAACTTGGAAAATGAATCTCTAGCTAGGAGGAGAGAAGGAGGGTAGGGAACTTTAAGCAAAATTGAAGAAACTTGCTTGGAATATCAAGCTCTGATTCTATGCTATGTAGGACACATATAAAAGTGTATATGGATATTCTCTTTGCACATGTATTTCCATACCTTTATACAACCACAGATAGGCTGGAAAAGGTATTTAAAAAATTGAAAGGAAAAAGAGAAGGTAGAGATAGCAAAAGAATGAATTTTCAAGGGCTCCTAAGCAGCCCATATCATATCTAAAACCGAGTGTTCAAGAAAGTTTACAGCTCATGGTTTCTATAACTGCAAAAACTTGTCTAACTCTCTCCTTGCCCAAGTCTTAGTTACCCTTCTCTTTATCTCTAATTGTCATCTCATGTTGCAGCATCGAGGTTTGCCTAGCTGTTGCAGTTTGTTCCACATGCAGATCATCTGCCTAGGTGATTGGTAATGAGCTGAGTAATAATCATCTACACATCCAGATTGCGAGAACTTCAAGCTGTGTACATATTCCACTGGTCTTGAGCTATTGAATTTCTCAACCCACATTCCCATGCTCACGTCCTCCATCTTGAACAACTGCGAGTCAGGGAGCTTAGTTAGATATTTCATTGAACTGACACAGACGGATAGGAAGCGAGAATTTGTGCCTACCTTTAAGTTATGACTATCAAACTCTGAGACAACGAAGCTGGCAATGTCTGATGAAACAATGTAGCCAGGTCCATTTGCATAAGACGGATAATCTTCTTCTGGCCATTCCTGAGACAACACAGAGAAAGGGAAACAGAATAAGATACTCAGATTTCACGGTATAGAACAAGGACACAGAGATTAAAAGGGAGCAACCAGACAACATCCAGAAAATTACTCCATGAAGACAACTATTTAGTTGGTGCATGTGTTGTGAAACTAGTGCATCATTAATCTAAATACCCTCCAATTAATCTCTTGAGAACACTCACCTAACTCAAGTATTGGTTATTCAGTATTATGTGGTAATTATGACATCCTCATTAAACCACAAAGCATAAGAAACACGCTTCTGTATGACAGAACTAGGAGTCCAGACTAAAACTTTTTTTGATAAGGTGGAGTCAAGACTAAAACTATCCAGCAGCATTTGCATCTTTTAATACTAGGTAAAGATTCTGAGGAATAAACGCACAAGAATATACGAACTATTACCTCATATGTCACTGCCCATTTACCACTACGTAGGGGTTTATGGTGGTAATTGATATTTCCAATATATAAGCTCCTATTTTCAAGTATTTTATTTACTTCCTTGATAACTGCATCCACTCTCACAAAGGTGTCATCGTCACACTTCATGATATTTTGGGCAGATACTACACGGACCTGCAAACAACCAAAAGTAATGATGAGATCAACTTTTGGGGACAAAACTAATTTCAAAATTTAAGGGAAATCTAGAAAGGTACCCCATATTCACAGATGGCAACTGTTTTCAGAACCACGAGGTCATAGTGATCCATGTAAGGAACAATGACGATGTCACCAAAAAATTCTGCTTCTTTCTTTAGCTCCACATTTACCTCCTTTCTTGCGTGCTGTCAAAATACATCCCAAGTTTAAACATTTTAACAGAACGAATGCCAATGTTAATAGCAAAAGATATTTGCAATATGGTCCATAAGTTACCAATATGTCAACCTACCAATGCAACAAAGAACCGAGCCACAACATTTGAAGATCTGATTAGCTGATGCTGCATCCAAGACCTCCTTATAGCCATTCGCTCAGCAAAATGATTGCCAGCAGAAAGAATACCAATGAACATATCTACAGGCTGATCAAGGAGAGGTGGTGCCTTCCATCTGTTTGACATATCAAGATGTCTCTGAGGAGCAAAATTAGGATGTGTAGAAGGCAAGGAGGCAGCAAACACTGAATCAACATCAATGTCACCGTTCATCCACAAACCAGTGGCATCCTCAAGGGCAAATCCCTAACAGCACAAAGGAGAACCTTAACAATAATCCGATTCAATAATCCTATATGAAGTTGAATGTGGTAGTACATTACTTACAGTTCGGTATGGAAACGAGGTCACATGCCTCCCATCAACATTTATGTGATAGCCCTCAAAGCCGGCACTAAGAGTTAGCACAAATAACTTATCCTCCGAAAATGGGAATGGCCAATCAATAGACACCTTCTTTGTTCGCCCTGTAATAAGCCGGTTTAACCACCATGATGACTTTGATTGCTCAGTATGATTTTCGTCATTATCTCGAATCCAATTTTCACACTTAACCTGTCCATCAACTGCAAAAGAGTCATATGTCACCTATAGATTAATCTACTTCACCATACAACAGACACAAATGTAACTACAATGCATTCTCAGTTAATCCCTTTCTCCTTCAATAATATAAAATCAACAGTCAAGCTTTTAACAGATGCATTACCACAAGCTCCTATTCCCCCAACCCCACCCCACACTGCGCCTGAAATACAGATTTTTAACATAAACTAGTACAAAATGAACAAACTTTTAAGTTCAATTACCCAATAAAACATAGGAGTAAAAGAATTTTCTAAACAATACTTAAAAGATAGTCCAATAAACAAAATTCATTGTTCTCACCAGTCTCCTCATTATCCTTGGACCTCCAGCCATCACACCTTTGTGCTGTCCCCCACTGCATCCTATAACAAGTGTTGTGTTCAATCACGGGCTTCCCACTCCAATCACCCCTCAATCGCGGATTAAAATGCAAAATCCTTGGCGGGTCCTCTCCATCAACTGTCTTCAGCCCCTGTAATTCCATCATAAACTGTGAAACCATCAAGAATTGGCCATTCTTCAGCAAAGATATCTTCGGGTCATGCTCCGAGTGGGCCTTCCTTGGCTTTCCAACAACAGTAATATGAGACCCTAATGTAAGCCCACATGGCAACACCAAAATTCTCCCTTTTTCTTGAAACTCCGACCCGGAAATTGAAATTGAATGGGGGCATTCCTCTGTCTTGTTACTTTTTTCTACAGGAACCACTTCTTGTTTGTGCAATTCAAGCTCTTCCCAGAATTTTTTCCCTACCTCAAATGCCTCCTTTGCTGATTTCAAAATCCCAGAAAACCCATCTGTGCTATTCATATTTACGGAACTGCCATCAAAAACTAAATTTGATAACAAAGTGTGCAATTCTCTGATTTTTCTCTCGGGCCTGGAATTGGATTGATTGGAAATTCCAACCCTAAGTGGGACATCAAGAGGGCGATTTGGGGCCTTCTTTTCTTCCTCGTCCTCTTCACTTTCAAGCACAAAAGTCTTTGAATTCAAATGGCGGTTAGCAAAACCCTCACCCTCCTTAGAAACTAAACTGAACCCAGTTTTGAAAACGAAAGGAACTTCTAAACCCACCATTAAAACATAAACAAGACCTATAAAAATCAAAACTTGGACCGATCTTTGACGACTCAGAGACATGAACATATCAAATTTTGTTCTCTTCATGTTTTAAGAATTCAACCCCAACCCACAATAAACAAAACTATAAACCCCCTCTTTCAATGACCAACGATCATAAATAAATTTTTTCGCAATAAAACAGCTAGGCAAAGAAAGAGGGAGAGCACTAGTGAGAAAAGAAGAGAGAATTAATAAGTCAGCAAAACATGATCACTGACGCGTTTAGTAAGGGGATCATATGAACTTAAGATTATACCATATTTATAAATAGTAAGTAGATAAATAGAGAGAGATTGAACTCAAAAGAATGAAGATAGGCTATTGGGGTCGGTGACCTTCATAGAACAAAAGAAATTTTAATACTTTTTCAATTCAAATTAGAAAGGGTTACTGGTTTGAAAGGGGCCCGAAAGAATATTTTATCAGGTAGTAGTATGTTTAATTGATTCTCTGAAAAGGAAGGAAAAGGAGAGGGGAGAAGTAAAAAGACCTTGGAAATTGTTTGCTAATTAATTTCATATACGCACCTCAAAGTTTTGCGTATTTATCATGATACCCTCTACTTTTTCTGAATGCACAAAATGTTCGAGTTTTTGCTATATTTGAAATGTTTTGTTAATTCCTCAATTTCATTCACAAAACTTAATAGATCGAACGAAACTGATGATGGGAAGTGTCTTGACATTGAATATGAAAAGGTTCCAAGCTATTGTGTGTATTGCAAAATGCAAGGTCACTATGAGAGCCAATGCAGAAACAAGATCCGTGATGAAAGAATAAAAGCTCAAAAGGAAGCTCAACTCAACAAGGAAAAGGAACAAAAAAGAGATAAGCCAAAAGAATATGAATTTCAAACGGTTTCTAAGAAGAAGAGTGTCAAAGTGAGGTTTCAGAACAATAGTCATATGGAGATGGCCAACAAACCTAATGAGCATAACCAGGAAGATCAAAGATCGAATGAAAGGCAAAGCTAGAATCATCAATCAATGAACCAAGATGTGAGAGGTATAGGCAAAAAAATAAAATTGTTATCAATGAGCCTTCCAAGATGCAGAAGCCTCCCATGAAGGAAGATATACCTGGTAAAGGTAAAAACAAAATGGAGGAAGAAACCAAACAAAACAACATACAGAGGAGTGAGCAAAATATTAACAAGAAGAAGAGGGTCAGAGTGAAAAAGAAGAACCAAATCATCAATAGCAATGAAGCTCAACTCCAAAACACAACCTTTGAAAAAGGCCAACCAAGCAGCAAGAAAACTGATACAACAACCAAACCATCGGAGCATAATACTAGCAACAAAGAAGACCACAACAATCCCATCGACAATGATCAAAGCAATAGACACTCGTTCCAGGAGAATAATACCAATGGTAAGAACAACACCAATCTCATTGAGGAGGAAGGCAACAACAGAAGCGAACCAGAACAAAACAACAACAAAAATAACCATGTAATTGATCCAGGAGATGCTCATAACACATATCTTAAACTTATTAGTGGTACCAGCTTATAAGAGGATAAAGAGAGTGAAAACATGTACATCTCCAATAATACTCAAATGGCTGAATCACCCTTTGAGGATGATGGGGAAGAGGACATCGAAGAAGATGGTGACTATGAGGATGATATGAGCATTGAAGAAACTGATGATTTCGAAAGTGTTGACAGTGAAAGCTTTCAGAATGAGGATCCACCTGTAAACCATACAACTGATGATCATGCGGCACAATTAATTGAAACTTTCAATTCCAATGCTTTAGTGGAGATAAATGTAAGCTCTAAAATTGACAAGATTGTTGAAAGAGCTCACCTATCACCTAGAGGTAGAGGAAGAGGCAGAAATAACATCAAGAGGGGCAGCCACAAACCAAGAGGAAGAGGTAGAAGATTCACCTATCAACAAGCTGTGGTTATACCACAGGAACAAAACCTCTTCAACTGATTTATGATGCTTAAATCCTTATATTGGAATATTAGAAGCATCAACTCTAGTGGTGCTTTTGATAGACTAAAGCAAATTATCCGGCTCCAAAATCTTTCTTTCATTGCTATTAGTGAACCTTTTCACAAGGTAGATCATCTTGATAAGTTCAGATCTATGCTAGGCTATGATAATGCTCATGCTAATATCAATAGTCAAATATGGATCTTCTGGAATAATGATCTGAACTGTAATGTGGTGGAGGAATCAGATCAACAGGTTACTTGTATAATTGAATGGATGGGAACAAACATCCTTGTTACTTCTGTTTATGCAAAATGTGATGCTGGTTTGAGAGAACATCTCTGAAAAAACCTAAGGGATATCTCCTAGAATTATATGCTCCCGTGGTACATTGCAGGAAATTTCAATTGTATTATTGATCCAAGTGAGAAATAGGGTGGTAACCTTCACAGAATGTCCAAAAGCATGCCTATGATACAATTTATCATGGATTGTGATCTTATTGACCCAGGCTTCTCAGGCTCACAATTTACCTGGTGCAATGGGTGGTCTCCTAACAGAAGAGTCTAGAAAAGGCTATATAGGGTGCTGGTTAACCAAGAATGGATGAATAACTATGACTCTACTAATATCAATCATTTGGTTAGAACATGCTCTGACCACTCACCCCTACTCACTATTTCTAAGAATACTTCACAGCCTACTATCAAATATTTCAGATTCTTAGATTTCTGGACTAATTTCAAAGAGGTGGTGAAACAGGCTTAGGATATAGAGGTTCATGGTTCTCCTATGTGGAAATTCCACTTGAAACTAAAAAGCACATGCAGATGCCTATCCCATTGGTCTAAGACATCTATTGGTAATATTTTTGACAACGTCAAGGATCTGGAAAAGAAGATGGATGATCTTGAACAAAAGACCATTACAAATAACACTGATATCAACAGACCTGAGCTTAACCGCATAAATGCTCTTCTTATCAGGGCCTATAAAACTGAAGAATCTATATGGAAGTAAAAATCTGGGATCAAGTGGTTTGTAGAGGGGGAAGTGAACACTAAATTCTTTCACTCCATTGTCAAGGGTAGAAGAAAGAGGTTAGCTCTTAAAAAGATCAGGCTAAGTGATGGCACCTGGATTGAAGGAGATGAGCGTATTGCAAATAAATCTATATCCTTCTTTCAAAAGCAATTCACTAGAGAACATACAGACTCCAATTTTTCTATCCTTAATTATATTCCTAAAGTTATCAATGAAATGGATAATGCTGGCCTTACAGCCATATCTTCTATGGAGGAACTGAAAGCTGTCATTTTTTCCATGAGCCCATTCAGTGCACCTGGACCAGATAGTCTTTGTGGAAAATTTTATCATTCTTGTTGGAATATCATTAAGGATGATCTTTTACTAACGATCAATGATTTCTTTTCAGGTAACCAAATACCAAAGGCCATGACCCACACCTGCCTAATCCTCATCCCTAAAGTAGATAATCCTCAAGCCTTCAATGAACTAAGGCTTATCAGCCTTGGCAATTTCTCCTGCAAAATCATATCGAGTCTAATGAACCAGAGATTAAGCCCCCTTATGGACAAACTTATTTCTCCTTACCAAACAGGCTTTATCAAAGGAAGATCCATAACTGAAAATATCATGAGGACTCAGGATATGGTCCATAATATTACAAAACCTTCCACCCATGGGAATGTAGTGTTAAAAGTGGACATGGCTAAAGCATATGATCGAGTCTCATGGGAATATCTCTGTAATATTATGAGGCATTTTGGTTTTAATAAAACTTGGATTGATATGATTTGGAGACTTATGTCTAATATTTGGTATTCTGTAAATATCAATGGGAATAGACAGGGGTTTTTCAATTTCTTTTGGGGATTAAGACAAGGGGATCCTTTATCTCCTTCTCTTTTTCTTATTGGGGCTGAACTTTTTTCAAAATTAATGGAGTCATTAAATAATCATGATTTTATCCCTTTCTCTATAGATAGTCATGGTCCTGTTATATCTCATTTATGTTATGCTGACGACACAATTTTATTTTTTTCAGTTGAACCTGAATCCTTGAAGATCATGATGGAAAAGATGGAGACTTATGAGAAACTCCCAGGACAACTAGTGAACAAAGCCAAATCTGGTTTTTATGTCAACTTCCAAGATGATGATATAAGAATCAACCGAATCAAACAGATTACTGGATACAATCACTGTCACTTTCCAATGCAATATCTTGGATGTCCTATCTATATAGGAAGGAAAAAAGTTGTTTATTTTAACAACATGGTGGCTAACATAGCCAAAAGACTCCAAGGATGGCAACGTAAATTTCTAATCTATGGTGGCAAAGTTGTTCTTATTAAATCTGTTTTGTAGGCTATTCCACTTCACACACTATCAGCGTTATATCCTCCCAAGGCAACTTTCTCCCAGATTAAAAAGATCATCTCTAATTTCTTTTGGGGTATGGATGGCAACAAAAATAAGAAGCACTGGATTGCTTGGAAAGACATGTGCTTCCCAGTTGAGGAAGGGGGAGCTGACTTCAGATCTCTTAAAGACACATGTGATGCCTTCTCTGCTAAGATATGTTGGAAATTTAGAACTAAAAAATCCCTTATCAAAGATTTTCTCGAAGCTAAGTATTGTAAAAGTTTTCATTCTGTTGCAAGAAGAAAAACTCAATGCCAATCTCATTCTTGGAGAAGAATGATGGACATCAAAGAAAAGGTGGAGTCTTATATCTCATGGAGTCTTGGAAGAGGGGAGATCTCTTTCTGGTGGGATTCTTGGACAGAACTTGGGCCCTTGGCTCACCTGGCGATTAACACCAAGACACCTAAAAGAACTATGGTAAGGGGCAAAATACTTGGAATCAAAGTAAATTGAGGAGAATCCTCCCCTTGCATGTGGTCAACTATATCAAAGACATCACCTTCAATATTGATAAAGAAGATAGACCCATATGGACCCCCGATCCTTCAGGGGATTTCTCTTGCAAATCTGCATGGCACACTCTGAGATCAAAGAAAGGAACTACTCTAACAGGTATGACTATTTGGCATCAAAAGCTTCCTTTTAAAATTTCCTTTTTTATGATGAGAGTGTTAATGGATAAAGTAGCAACTGATGTTGCTATTAAAAGATTTGGGGTGAATATTGCTTCTATATGTAACTGCTGCCCCAATAAATATTTTGAGGAATATACTAACCATCTGCTCAGTGATAGTCATATTGCCAATCTAGTATGGTCCTTTTTTTGTAACTCCTGTGGTATCAGATTGGTCCAAGGTCAGGTAAGACACAAAATTATGAGGTGGTATTTGACTAAATCCAAAAATGAAGTTCAGAATACAGTTTTTCAGTGCCTGCCTTCAATCATTTGCTAGCAAATTTGGAAGAATAGATGCTCTGCTAGGTTTGATGAAAAGCGCATGTCCCATTATTTCATCATCCAACAAGTGATCAAAAT